CGATTTCGCAGTCCCTTGCTACTGCTATATCTTTCATAACTTTCTTTCCTACCTTTTCCCTTTCAGATACTAGATACTAGGTACTGCTACTAGATATCAAATTCATAAACCATTACTGGGTAGTACTCCCTTCGTTCCAAATTACTCGTCGTGGTTTTAGTTCATACCACGACGAGTAATTTGGAACGAAGGGAGTACTAGATAACAATTTCATGCATAGTCAACATGCATCCTCAAGCAGTACAAGGTCATATCGACGGCGATCATCATATGTAGTTCTAGATGATATTGACGACGATCATCATATGTAGTTCTAGATGATATCGACGACGATCATCATATGTAGTTCTAGATGGTATAGCCACACACATATGTAGTTCTAGATGATATCGAAGATGATCATCATCCTCAAGCCTGGGCGGTTGGTGTTCCTGATAGTAATTAGGATGGCCTGTCCAACACGAAGATTCTTGCCATCGAGGAATTTCTTCCACCCAACCGAGTTTAAGTGTGTGCAACCATCCGTATTCACGCGGTAAGTGCAGGTTATGACGGAGCCCCTTGCAGTAAGGCGTAGTCCAGCTGAGCCTTCTTCATCAGGCTCGATACCATAAATCACAGATATGCTTTGCCAATTTCTGAATAAGAAAAACATATCAATTAATAAATAGCCTCGCAAATAAATACATATGGATTATCTACACTATTAATAGTTTCTTAGATTCTACACTAATAAGCATGTGATCGAACTCTATACTAAAACATATCATCGACTAGATTTCACACAACATACCATATCATTGGACTGTACACTAAATATTTCATCGGATAATTTGCATTTGTAAGTATAATATACCATATCATGTCGATCAACCATGGTATTTGTCAGGCGGGTCATGAATGGCACCCCGACAAAGTCAGCACATGGCGGAATTATGTCCCGCATGTTGGACACCTCCTCCTCGCTCAGCCTTGTTCTTTGAGCTACGATGGCTTCATGAAGTGGGTCCTCATCATCTTCATCGAGTGGGTCCTCATTATCTTCATCATCTTCATCATCTTCGTCATCTTCATCATCTTTCACCAGGTTGAGATAAATGACAGCCAGCTTGGGTCTTTCTACTCTGAAGGAGAAGTTGATCAACTCACTACCAGTAAGACGCATGCGGGCGACGAAACGGGCCCATCCATCTCCTCCAATCTGCGACATATTGCGTCCTTTCTAGACCTCCATAGTGTACGGCCCCCAGAAGCCTCAAATGTCACAGTGTCTCCTGTCAGCTTGTTGAATTTCAACCTCACATTGCATGGGACGATCTGTGTAAAATAAGCAAAATGACACAATGCAGTAATGCCAACACTAAAAATAAAATAGTTGTTGCATTTCATCTAATTTCTTATCGCCGCATGACGAAAACTCGGCTGGAAGTAGATGCCGAACAGCTTGCCAGTTGCAAGGCTGCTGGCGCACCTTGACTTGCACAGTCGACATAGTGGTGGTGGTGGTGGCGCCGTTTTTCCTAAAGCAATATGAACAAAGGATTAACGATCCACTTCACAGGAAAGAAAAACAGTAGCATGTGATATTTTTGGTTCTTCCGCGAGAAGCAATTTGATGGACAATTATAATCCTAAGATCTAGTAACATACTAGATGACAAGGTACCACCTACATTTTGCCAAAATGTAACTTATTACAAAAAAACAAAAGCAACTACCTATCCACGTACAGAAAAAATAACAATAAAATGGTGCATACTGAATCAACTAAATGAACTAGCCTACTAAATCAACTAAATCAAAATATTCTAAATCAACTAAATCAACTAGCCTACTAAATCAACTAAATCATATCAACTAAATCAAAATGTTGCATATGAACTAGCCTACTAAATCAAAATGTAGCAGGAAGGAGGAGAAGGAGGGGCGACTCGAGGAGGGAGAAGAGAGTAGGACGGAGGAGGAAGGCGGAGCGAGGAGGGGCCGGCGGCTAGTGGAGGGAGGACGGAGGAGGAAGGCGGAGCGAGGAGGGGCCGGCCAGCGGCGAGTGGAGGGAGGACGGAGGAGGAGGCCGGTACCGAGTCCAGCAAGGAGGAGGAGGTGACGGCGGCGCAGAGGGAGGAGGGGCGACGGGGGAGGACCGGCGCTGGGGGTTGAGAGGAGATCTAGTGAGTGTGTGAGTGTGAGTGGATCGAATAGAGGAGAGGGGGGGTGGGAGATGGAATGGCTTAGTAGTAGCGCGCTATAGAGAAAGACGTTACTGCTAAACTACCTAGCAGCAGCGCCTTTCACAAAGAAGCACTACTGCTATGTGTCAGCATATAAAAATAGACTTAATTCAATATATCAAAAATACATTGATCATCAACGATCTTTTTGTGTATAATCTGATTTGTCAATATGAGTCCTCACCGGTTTAGGAACCGATAAAGACTCATATTGCGGCCACAAATTCTACACACAGAATTCAATGAAGACCAAGTGCTTGTCAAAGTTTGAGAAGTAACATATTTAAGGTGGTAGAAACTCTCTTCACGGAGCGAGGTGGGACTAAATTTTTGTAGTAAACTTAGCAGTAGCGCTTATTGGTGAAATGCGCTGCTAGTATGCTATGTAGTAGTAGCGCTCATCGTGATAACGCGCTGCTGCTATAACTAGCCTCGCGGCGGCCTCATGGGAATTATATCAGTAGCGCGTCTTTGAGCGGGGGCACTACTGCTATATTTATTTCCGCAGCGAGTTAAGCTTGAGCTCGCTACTACTAAGTAGCAGCAGCGCCTTATTTTAAAATGCGCCGCTGGTAAGATTTTGTGTATAGGTTTTTCCCTAGTAGTGGTAGTAGTTGAGTCGTGGTCGAAGCATCGGTCGCAGGTGCTGAGCCGCCATCGCAACAACGTCGACACGGCCGAGATGTCATCGCAGCACGGCAGCGCCGTCGCATCGTCTACATGCGGCACATCGACATCCTCGGCTCCTCGCCACATCACCTCCAGCGACGCCGCCCATCGCAGCACTAGTCGTAGTAGTTCCAGTGGCAGCACCACCGGCAGCCCTCCGCGATGACGGGCACCTCTCACAGATCCGCAACCCCTACAAGCATCACCGGCCGATGCCACTCACAGTAGCGGCTCACAGCAATGCCACCGTCATGAACAGCTCTGGTGGACTTGGAGCAACCCCGCCGTGGACTATCGCAACATTGTTGTCGTCGAGCGCCGAAGCACCTGGGATGCTGTCGCAACAGCTCCTGTGGACTTGGAGCAACCCCGTCGGAGACTGTCGCGGCATCGTCGTCGTCGAGCGTCGAAGCACGGCCGCTGTCGTAGCAGCTCCAGTGGACTTGGAGCAACCCCGCCGCGGACTGTCGCAACATTGTTGTCATCGAGCGTCGAAAGCACCTGGGCCGCCGTTGCAGCAGCGGTCGCCCGTCTTGCAGAGGCGGAGGCTCTCTCCTCGGGTTCACTTGACGGGGCGCTAGTTGCGTAGCAGATCTTAAGAGAGGCGGATCCATGGTAGCCTGTTGCAAAGCTTGGGGAATCCCCTTGCCGGCGAGAGATTCAATCTGTCCTGACCGCCAATGGGTGGGCTCTGCGGTGCCCTGTGATGAGACGGATATGGCGCTCTTCAGGGCTTCTACCAGCATCTCCTTGGGCAATGGGAGAAAATCCTTATTCTGGCACGACGACTGGATAGGACAGGGCCCTCTGTCCTGGGCCTTCCCGGAGCTGTACAAAATTGCCACCAGGAAGCGGAGATCTGTGATGAAGGAGCTCCACGAGGAGAACTGGATCAGATCGGTTGCCCGTCTTTCATCGCCTACCGACATGCAGGAGTTCATTGCCCTCGCTTCAGTCATCACTCAGGTGGCGTTAAACCCAGACCAGGAGGACTCCATCACTTGGCGGTGGACCCCCAATGGCATATACTCTGCCGCCTCGGCCTACGCGGCCTAGTTCTCTGGATCCTATCCCAGGTTCTCCCCGGCCAAGATTTGGGAGGCACACGATGAGCCAAAATGTAAGTTCTTCGCCTGGCTTATGCTCCACGGGAAGATCCTCATGGCCGCCTGGCTTCGTGGCTGGCCGCACGACCCTTGTTGTCCCCTTTGCCTTCGGGCTCCGGAGACGGCCACTCAGCTCTGCAAGGACTGCCCGTTTGCCGCCACAGTTTGGTCTCACGTCCAGGTGTGGACGGGAGAGGACTCTGGGGCCACGCCCACGTTGTCCCCTTCGATGGGGATTTCGGACTGGTGGGATTCGCTCACCACCAATCTGCCCAAGAACGACAGAAGGAGAAGGAGCGGCCGCTTCCTTTACACCATCTGGAACATCTGGAAGGAGCGAAACCGACGCATCTTCAATGGAACTCGCCTCACACACCTAGAGGTGGCAGCTATTGCCTTCGAAGGCATCAAGCAAAGGTCCTTGGCCTTTGGCCGGGCACAAGTGGCAGCCGGTATTGGCTGATTAGTGCCATCGTGTGTTTTTTTCTAGGGTTTTTGTCCGGTTTCTCTTCTAAAAACCGGAACACTCTTGTACATAAACCTTCTTCTTCTTCTTATATGAAAAGGCAGTGCTCCTGTCGGTTCCTCAAAAAAAATCAGTGACGAAGAAAGCTAGGGAGAGGAAAAGGAAGAAGAAACAAGAACTCGAGAGGAAGAAGAGGAAAGCAACCGCGTTCGATCAAGCGTACCGCAGCATACGTGCAACACAAGGAACGTTCATGAATTAGGAATATGTAATAAAAACAGAAACAAAGGTGTTCAAAAGAAAAAACAGAAACAAAGAAAACCCCAACAATTGGAAACATGAAAGAAAAACCGGAAACATGCACACGGGAAGGAAAGGAAACCAAACCGAGACGTCCGCTTCTCTTAGCTGGACCGGCTGATGCTCGTGTCGTTTCAACCAAGATTGATCGATCCGTCTCTACTAAACCTAACCTACTCGATTCCGTAGAACCTCGCGATCGAGGACCTCCTCAACCTCTTTTCCTACGGCGATGAAGAGGCGACGCAGGCGTGCTCCTGCTCCGTCGGAATCGGATATCCAGCGCATTTTAGGTGCCCGCCGTCATCCTCCTCTCTCAATCTCATCTACACCCTAGCTAGCACATACCTGCCATGCAAGGGGGCGTTCATTATACCAATTCGGGCCTGGACCAACAGATCCGGACACCATAGGTTAGGTCTGAAGTCTATTTCAACTGGCGGGAACAATTGCCTTCCATTGCTCGAACATCAGTGAATGGGATGCAACAGTTGAGTGTTTGTCTTAGATTTGTCTAAGTACGGATGTACCTAGGTACTGCTAATTTTTGTACGGAGGTAATGCTATCTAGGGTTCGAGAGCTCGCCAAGGGAAGCGAAGAAATATGTTGAATCCTATTCTTTTTTTTCTAGTGGTATAAATCATGCTTGCTTAAGTTTGCCAACTTCTTGTTTGCAGACGAATGTTTCATCCTCCTTCTGTTCGAGACACCCTCTGGCTTTGCACTTTTTCATTCTGCTTTGTCACTCATTAACCGACCAGATTCTATGGAGGTACTATCTATATGTTCTTTCTTCCTTGGTCACTGATGGGCTTGCTTGCTTTCTTTCTCTTGTTGTCTATGTCATTTGCCTAATTTTATGTTTTATCCTCGTCTCCTGCAGGACATATGGTCTTATTTCATCTATGATTGCATGGCAAAACTTGTTAGTGCCTCCTTCTTCCTTTGGTTCCCTGCTTCTGATTTTATTTCCTCATGTTGCTTTTGCAGCCGCAAAATTAATCCTACTACTACTTATCTTGCACCGTTCATGATTACATCATCATTTTCTATTAATTTTACTTTGTTTTGCGTTGAGGGAGGAACATGAACACATGCTAGTTCATTACATCGCTACTGTTGAGATGTAGTACAGTATATACCTACTGAATTAGCCCCTTCTCCTCATTGAGAACATGATACGATACTTGATTAATTGTTTCTTCTTACCCCTGAACATGCTCATCCTTATTTTATTTCTTCCTCAGGCTATTACGCTGAAAGAGTTTCAAACTTTTGAGGACAAGTCCAGTGCCATTAATCAAAACAGTGGTGTCAACGAAAGGCTTACTCAGATGATCAGGACGTGGATCGGCGGGAAGAAACTGGCAGTTGGAAAGCCTGAATATAAGGAAATTATTGAAGAGAGATTGGTGAGTATAATTAAGTTCCTGGTTTAACTATATTTCTGAACAACTTTGATCGCCATTTTTGCTGCGACTTCTTGCAGAAAATAGACTGCCTGTATAATCCAGCAGTGATGGAGGTGATGTGGGGTATACAGAATTGCATGCCAAGTTTGGTGCCTGGAGAAAAATCACAGCTGGCTGAAGAGGACCGCGTCCCGATGAGTAAGGGATTGCGAAAAGTCTTGAAGCGTTATGACTGTAATGTCAAAACAAAGATTGTGAGTTAGCAAGTTGCCATGGACCAAAATTTTGGATGAAACTTCAATAGAAACATCATGCATGCTTTGCGTCTCTGCTTTAATGATGAAGCAATGTTCTTCGTCTCCAGGTCAGCAAGCAAATTATTGAGACGGCTGCCGCCTTGTTTAAGTGTGATTCGGCTGTGAAGGATAATTCTAGAGCCATGCGGAGGGCAGGTGATACCATTAAGGCTATTTCTGGCATCAGCTGTGAGGGTTGGAGCTTACTGGAAATTGCAACAGCTCTGAAGATGATATGGTGGCCTGAAGAAGTTGGCGATTCTTGTGCGGTAAAAACTGTAGATACTGTTTTTTGAATGTGTTCGCAGCTCCATGCTCTCCCATTTGTTGCAAACTTGTCACTCAGTCTAAATCATGTTTCTTGCAGGTTTCTAAAGATGAGGCAGCAAGACTGGCGAATGATGCCGGTAAATATGATGTCCTGATGAATAAGCATGCTTGCTTGCGAGTCTACGATGAGATGGTGGAGGCTAATGATGTTAGGATCTCGAAAGGAGCACTACTGAGATCATTGGTTGAGCACGAGCCGAGGAAGCATATGAAGCGGAAGAGGCTGAAGAATCCCAGCTAGCTGTGCCTCTTCTTAGTCTGAAGGGAGTTTTTGGTACTCATACTGGTTCTTAGGGTATTATTGAACATAAGATGATCTTGGTTGACTTTATTCCGATCTCAGTCTGAGATGGTCCGTACGAAAATGTGCAGTGCCAATTTAGTTTGAGCCACCCTGTTTAATCGGCTGCCAAGTATTTTGCGTATATCTACTTGAGCTTCAGTGTTTTTTCTGGTCATATGTAATGTCAGATTTTGTTACGTCTAAGTATGTGTTTTATGAAGGATTCGGTACACACTAGTCAGCACTCTCGTTAGAAATCAACATATTAATTTATGAGGCTTACAGTTTCAATTTACACATAGCGCGACACATAACCTTACATGCCCAATGATTTGCAGTACATTCAACGCACTTTGTGAATTTATATATTTATGGGATCTACTATTTGACATACTTGCCTTAAGCGTATTGTGATTAAATAATCATCAACATTCAGCTAGTGAGACCATCGCCAATGGCCAAAAAAAATGTGTAGATAAGGTGGAATAGATCATAACATATTTCCACAATAATACTACCATCATTTAGCTGTTGAGACAATCACCACCGATATGCAGAGTAAATAAAAATGGAGAGAGAGTATAAATTTAGGCTTGGAATCTGTATTTGGTATATATATACAGAAGAAATTGACATGGAGAAAATGAACTTTTCCGCTCCATCAATTGAAAGTCACAAGGGTAATTGCAGTTCTTTTGCTTGATTACTTCCACTTCAAGTAACATTTTCTTTTTTTGAGAAACTCCACTTCAAGTTACTTGAGTTCATGAATTTGCTCTCTTTAGATCATCTTCAACAGATGCACTATATAAGCCGCGCGCTGAAAAGGATTCCTATATAGGCGCGTGCGCGATCAAAAATAGCGCTCCAACAGTAGCTGTAAAATAGAGCACACACAAAAACGAATCTGCAAATTTAGCGCACGCGGGCTGCGAGGTTGCAAATTTGAGGCGCCGGCTTGTGCGCGTGGGCAGTTGCATGTGGGGCCGTCGGGTTGGGCGCTGTGTTTTTGTGCAATAACGCTATTTCAGCGCTGCAAAAAAAAAAATTAGCGCGTCGTGCTAGCCCGCATCTGTTGGAGATGCTCTTAGACAATGCAGCTCCAAGTACTGCAGCCCACCCCCAACAGGTTCACATATATCATTTCTGTGCAAGTTTGCCATCTTTAGAAGTCACAAGGGACTACTCAGTGCAAGTTTGCCACACTTTTAGAAATTCTGCTACTTGTTCATGTATTTGTCCAACAAGTTCCTATCATTTCTCTACCCGCACGGAGAAGAAGTTGTTTTCGGGAATTTGAGTACTTGAAACAAAAATGCAAATTATTTTATAACTAAGGAGTTGAAGGCCATAATTTGTGCGGACACTATGAATCTTGGTAGGATCATGGCACTCATCTGACGTTATAATAGTTGTACTAGTAGAATTGCAAGAAGAAATTGAACACACTGGCTTGGTTTGCTGCATAAGGCAGCAGTGACAAGAGTGATGCAGTTTATCCAATGGAAATGCACATCCAAGGTACTCAACAATAATCATACTCGATCACATATATAAATCCAAGAATGCATGCAAAGTGTCCAAGATTTTCGTTAGGAAGGTACCTGATTAATTCTACCATGGATCAATTGGACATACTAGCTCAGTTAGCCAATTAGGCACTCGCAGTGTCGCTGCGCGCTCCGTCACTGTCGCTTCCTAGTGGCTCGCCCTCTCCGGCCGACGTCCTCCAGGTTGTTCGCCGTCGTGCCCTCGGAGCTCCCGCGGTGGTTGCTCTTGCACACGAAGTACACCACCACCTGCGCCACCTGCCCCGCCATCACCGCCAGCCACAGCGCCGCCGCCATCACCATCCCCGCGGCCACCCGGAGACACACGCCGAGGCCGATGCTGTTGTCCACAACCAGCGCCCCGAAGGCCAGCTGCACGGCCACGATGCACCCGTCGAGCGTCCAGAGGACGGGGGCCGCGGCCCAGAACTTGCCGGCGAGGAGCTCGTCGCTCACGTGCATGCCGCGGAAGCCCCAGTCGTCCTCCAGCACCAGCATCACGCAGGCGACGCGCCACACCGCGCCGATGTGCGCCGCTCCGGCGAGGTATGCGGCGCCGGCCAGCAGCACCGCCGTCCGCGGAAGCTGCACGCCGATCTCCTCACCCGGAGCAGCGGCGGCGAGAAGGTGGTGGTGCGCGAGCCAGGCGGCGGCGCCGAAGAGGGCGGTGTAGCCGAGGAGGAGGAGGAAGGCGTCGAAGGTGGTGACCACGAGGCGCCAGCCAACCTTGAGCGCGCGCGCGGCTCTGCGGGAGTTGCCTTGGAAGGTCGACGCGTGGCCGCTGGCGAGGAACCTGGGGACGGTGCGGAGCTCGTGGGCGATGGAGCGGGCGTCGCGGTCGTCGACGAAGCCGTAGCGCGGGGCGGCGGAGTGGACGAGGTAGGCGGCGAAGCTGAGTGACGGGAGGACGACGCAGAGGAGGCAGGCGGCCTCTACGAGGAAGAAGGAGCCCCAATTCGCGGCGAGGCGGACGGAGCCGGCGCCGGCGTCGGAGGCAGCGACTGCGCGAGAGAGGAAGGCGCGGGAGATGGCGACGTGGGCGAGCCTGGACAGGGAGAGCCCGACCAGCTCGCCGGCCATGGAGGCGAAGCCCGGGCGGCGGGCGCGGATGAAGACAAAGGTCTCACGGCATATGCCGGCGAGCCCAAGAGCCCCGAGAGCGGCCCCATCTGGGCCCCGCTCCATGGACGAGCTGCTGGCTGCTGGCTGCTGCTGAGGAAGAGAGAGGAGAGGAGCTCAAGCAAAGGGATGGACTGACCAACAGAAAAGGCACACGCGGCCCTATATACACATTTTTTAGAAGAACGCCATACATACACATGTTTGCTCAATTTCAGTTAGTAGTCTACTTGATTTGTTTTAAGCAATCTCAGTGCGCTACTATTATATGTATATGAGACTAATTAGCCCAAACCTGTTTTAAAAGTGTACAAATTTAGCTAAAGGTGACCACAATTTTCAACTTCAATGCATTGGAACTTTCAACTTTATAATGCATTGGTCATACATAAATACTGTTAATAATATCAGCAAACGAACATTCTGTTGTGCTTCCAGACATGTTTGAACTCCCGAAAATTTTGTACATTCAAAAAGGGAAGCGAGACGGGTGCGGATGATGGTTGAAAGTTGATCAAAAGCATAGACAAAGTGACAGAACTTATGAAGAGATGATCCGTGTGTGATCCATATGGTCCATGTGTCATATTTTCCCGGCGAATGGGTCTTCTTAGAGCATCAGCTTCTAATGCCAGGCTCCACAAATGCCCCCTATACGCCTAGGTGGACGGCCTAGACAGTGACCGGTCACAAAATCGCGATCCAGCCGCACCCTCAAACCGATTCTATATGTCGAAGCTCATTGACACCGCTCGCATCCAGCCCATATCTAGGGCGGATAGGCGAGGTCCGGGCGCGCCTGCCACGTCAGAGACCGGACCCACCTCAAATTTCACCTAATTGACCAAGTCCATCAAATCCACCGTCCTCCTTTCGTGTCTGTCCATCATTTCCCGCGTGAGAGGTGCCGCCGTCCTTCACCCTTGCTTCCCCATCCGCGCCGCCGCTCCCATCAACTGCCCTAGATGTCATCGCCGGTTACCCCGCCCTTCAGCGCCATCACGGATGATGTCTCAGCATCGTCCATGGGGGTCCCGGCCGTGGGGATGAGCTGCAAGGCAGAGAAAGTCGCCCAAAGGGAACGATGAAGGAAGCAGTGCGGATGGGAAGTTCTGGTCAAGTAGGTTGTGGACATTGATGAGGATGTGTCTACTGCGCCCGCCTGCTCCACACGCGTCCACGCTGCCACTGACAAGGAAGCCACCATCTGCTCCGCCCGCGACTGACAACAATCCGACTTCCTAATGGGCGATTCCGGACGGCTAGACGCAGCCAGAGGTGCCGGAGACAGTGTTCGACTCGCCTCAGCTCCAATGGATACGGACAACCATGGGCACCACCGACACTCGGCCTGCCCAGGTCCTATTCGACACAAGGTTGCAGCAGAAACATTACGTCTTTCGCTCCATTTTGTATTGCTTGTTTCATTATTCACTATGCCATTTGATTATTTGGAATCATGATCATTTTAGGACATTTTCCTATCGG